GAGGATCGTGGCCCGGCGTGTCCACACGGCCCAGGCCAGCTTCCAGGGGGCCACAGCCTCCAGAGTGACCGTCACCGTGGGAGACAGAAGCTCTAACCTGAGAGGTCCGTGCCGCGGGGAGGTGGCTCCCGGTGTCCCTGAGCCCAGAGGCCACCCAGAGCCCAGGACCCCACGGCTGGGCAGGTGCTCTGCCTCTGAGCTGCGCCCGGCCACCTGTTCCCACCCAGGGGACACTCTGCTCCTGGCCGACACCTTCGCCTCCCTGGGGCCCACCCGTCCCTTGCCTTGGGTGGCCGGGTGTGGTGGCCGCTGGCCAGGCCTCCTGACCCCGCCCGTCCACAGGCGAGTGCTCCGCTGCCCAGAGGGTGGCCATCCCGGCTCTGGGCCCCGAGGCCCTCCTCGGCTGCCATCTTCGGTTCCAGCAGGACGTCTTCGACCTCCCGGTGACAGACGTGTTCTCGGCCGAGCCGGACTTCGACGTCACACTGGGTGAGCCAGGGCTGAGGGGCTCTGCCCACCGCCTTGGGCTGCCCAGTGGTCGTGGCCTGGCTCAGGGGCCTCCCGGGAGTCCGTTCTGCGCGATGCCACCAGGGCCTGGCCTCTGTCACTCCTGTGCCCACAGGAGGCTGGCCTCCAGCCACCGCCGCACCCGCAGGAGAGTCAGGGACAGGGCGGGGCGTCAGCGCAGGCGGGGGACAGGGACAAGCAGGACGCCCCTGTCTCCGCAGGCCAGTACCTCTGCGCGGTCACCATGCACAGGCTGACCGACAGGCAGCTGAGGCACCTGAGCTCGAGGAGGACACCCCTGGTGGTCACGGCCTCGGTGGCCGGGGGCCAGGCCTCCATGGAGCAGGTGGGGGCCGAGGTGCCCTTCAGCCCCGGGCTCTACGCTGACCAGGCCGAGATCCTCCTGAGCAACCACCTGTCCAGCCGCGAGGTCAAGGTCTTTGGGGCCGCGGAGATCCTGGACAGCTTGGAGGTGAGTGGTGGGGTCAGGACGGACGCGGGGACCACAGTCGGACTTCACGTTGGCCAACCGTGTGGTGACCGTCCCCAGCCCTTTTTATATTTTATTTAGAGACAGGGTCTCGCTGAGTTGCTCAGGGCCTCACTAAGCTGCTGAGGCTGGCCTCCACCTTGCGATCCTCCTGCCTCAGCCTCCTGAGCTGCTGGGAGGACAGGCGTGGGCCACTGCACCTGGCTTGGTTTTGCAGAGTTTTAGAAAATTTTTATTTATTACTCGTTTGTCTGTTGGTTTGTCTGTCCGTGTGCTGGGTCCCCCGGCCAGCGGCTCTGTGGAGCGTCCCTGCAGCCTGACGTCTCTCCCAGGTCAGGTCCGGGTCCCCCGCTGTGGTGGCCTTCGTGAAGGAGAAGTCCCTGGGGCTGCCCAGCTTCGTCACCTACACGGTCGGCGTCTCGGACCCCAGGGCGGGCAGCCAGGGCCCTCTGTCCACCGCCCTGACCTTCTCCAGCCCTGCCACTAACCAGGCCCTCACCATCCCGGTGACGGTGGCCCTGGTGCTGGATCGCCGTGGGGCTGGTCCTTGTGAGTGTCGGGACGGGACGTCACGGGAGGGACCCGGGGGGCCAGGGGCAGGGCCGGCCAGCGTGGTCTCGGGGGTCAGTGGAAACCTGTGGTCAGATGCCGACTTGGAGGGTCCTAAGTGCAGGGTGTCCCTGGAGGTGACAGTCACCTTTTTTGGGTACCGAGGACTGAACTCCGGCCCCTGCGCCCCCCCCCCCAGTGTTTTATCCAGAGTCGGGGTCACTAGGTGCCTGGGCCCGCTGAGGCCCTTGGTGGGCCTGGGTCCCCGCAGTGGCCATGGGACCCCACAGGCCCTGGCTTCTTGTCCACCTGTGACCCCCCACGGCCCCCACTCCGGCCACAGCATCCTCCTCCCGGGGGGCCCTGGCCAGCGTCCTCCCCTCCTGGGACCCAACCTCCTGAGCTGTTTCTGGCTCCCAAACCCTTCGACCCTCTTGTCCCCGGGCACCATTGCCAGAGCCGCCTGTCATGGGCAGCGTGACGATGGCTTGAGTTCTCACGGGGCCTCCCCAGCTGGCCGGCGGGCACTTGGCCGGGCCTCGAGGCTGGGCTCCTGGCCTCCCTGCCTCCCTGCCTCCTCAGCCACGAGGTGCGTCCTGGGCCGGCCCTGGGCCAGGTCACCACGGGAAACCTCCCACCTGGAGGGGACGCAGGGTGGACTCTGAGCGGGTCCCCTGCCCTGGTGGCCCTGCTGGGCATCCTGGGGCCGGCAGACACTGGCAGGCCACCCTCCAGATGGGCGGGGCTGGCGGGGCCTGGGGTGGCCCTGGCCTGGCCTTGCTGACGGTGTCCCTGCGCAGACGGGGCCGGCCTCTTCCAGCACCTCCTGGACTCCTACCAGGCCCTGTTCTTCTCGCTCTTCACCCTGCTGGCCGGGACGGCCGTCACCGTCATAGGTGAGCCGGGGGGTGCCATGGGGTGTCGCGGGGGTGCCGCCTGCCCTACTCTCACTGACCGTACTGACCATGCTGACCCGCCCGCCCTCACAGCCTACCACGCAGTCTACGCGCCCCGGGAGCTCACCGGCCCCGTGGTCCTCACGCCCCGAGCCAGCCCTGGGCACAGTCCCCACTGTGAGTAGCCCCCGCCACGGGCAGAGCTGGGGGGTCCCTGGGCCCCGGGGCCGGGCTGTGGGGGTGTGGGGGAACAGCCCCGGGCTCCTGCCCACGCTGTCCCAGGTGTCCACTCTGGGACTGCCTCGTAGGCCCCAAGTCAGGCCAGGGGTCCGGGCAGTCCTGAGGGGTCCCCCAGAGGGAGAAAAGGCAAAGCCTATTCCTTTGACAACCCCTCCGTCTCCGAGGGACCTGAGACCTGGTGGCCCTACAAGCCTGGTGACCCCACAGGCCTCCAGAGGCACGTTCCTCTGGGAGCACCATCTAATGGGGTTGCAGTGCCCAACCTGTGCAGCTGTTCATGGTGGCCCTTTCTGGGTCCAGGCTCCCCTCCGCCGCCCAGGGGCCCCCAGCCAGACTCTGTGCCTGGCCCTGGGCAGCCACGGGCAAGGGCTGGGGAGTGGACTTTTTGAACGAGGGCAGAGTTTCATAGAGAGA